CGCAAGGCGCGGCGCCGGGGAGCGCGGGCTCGGGCGGCGGCGGCGGCGGCGGATGGCCCAGGGCTGATCTATGCGGCGCCTGGAGGGGCTGTGTCTGCGGCGGCGGCGGCGGCGGGGCCCTGCCCGCGAGCGGGGCGGGGACAAGATGAAGTACCAGAAATACCTGACGGTGCTGCAGATGGCCATCGGCGTCACCCCCTCCAACCGCGGCAGCCTCCTGCCGCTCAAGAGGAAGCTGTGGTGAGCGCGCGGGCGGGCGGCCGGGCGGGCGGGGGCGCAGCGCCCACTTCCGGGCCGGGCCGGGCGCCCCCTGCACGGGCGGCTGTGCCGCGACCCTGCGGCCGGGCCTCCGCCGCCAGCCCTCCCTCCGAGCTGGCCGCCCGCCGCGGCCCATCGCCGGGCTCCTGGGACTGTGCCGGTGCGGGTCGCGCGTAGCGTTTCCGTCACGTATTTCTCGGAAACCCTCCGCGGCTGAGCGCATAGTAAAGTCCGAGCCGCTCTCACGGCCGGCGAGGGGAGTGAAGTTGTGACATGAGCGTTGCATTGTCAGGGACGGTTATTTTATCCGCATGCGTTCCGGTTCCTTCGACCTGGAAACTGTTATTGAGGTAACGGGAAAAGCACACCCGTAAAGAAAATGTCTGGAAGTTATCTAGATGGGGCTTACATAGTTACTCTCCATCAGATTGTAGATTGCGCTGGTAGCCTCTGAATGTGCCGTATGGAATCCGTTGACACTGGCTTGAGATTTAGGCTTACTCTTCTTGCACCAGAGAAATAAGGAGAGGGAAGGTGAGTACAGATAAAAGAGGCCAGTGACCGTTATAGTCGGTGGTCATTTTGATTTTAAAATTAGTAGTCGTTGTAAATGTTTTATTCAATCCCATTGAACATAGTCCAATTTAATCCTAAAGTTGTAGAGAAAGAAAACGAGGCTTCTTTTATGTATTTGGAGAAAGTAATTCCTGTTGTATAGAACATGAAAGAATGATCCAAGGTACATGGAGACTGACCAACCAAGAAAGAGATGACTGAAACAATGCCAATAGTGGTCAGTGGGTAAAGTGAGACCACCAGTACAAGCAGCAAAGCTCAGATTTCAGCTGTGCCACTTGCTGTGTGACCGTAAGCACGTTACCAGAATATCTGGTTTTCCTTCTATAAAATGAGAATCCTGTTGTCTGCCTCTTGGGTTTGTCCGGGTAATTCTGATAGGGACTACACAGCAGCTACTACTCTGCCTGGCTACAAAGATGCTTGGAAAAGGTTGGTGCCTTACTCCCTGCCCTCCCTCATTTGTTAACAATAAAAGAAGAAATTTATTCTGCAAAAGGCATTTTAATTTGATGAACAGCAAGGAACATTACATAGAAGACTAGACTGGTGAAAGTTGGCAGCAGTGGAGTTAAGAAATGTCCATGTGGTGGGTAGTTGGGGTATATAGTTCAGTGGTAGAGCACTTATCTTTTATGTAAGGACCACAAAGTAATAATAGGAATAATAATAATAATAATGATAGAAATAATTATGGTTAGCAAATAAATGAAGGGCAGGTCCCTCTTATGAAGGAGATAATATTTGACCACGACTTCTCGGGTCGATGGTGTACAGTGGGGAGAAAAGACATCAGCTCCAGTGCTGTCACTTCTACCCTGCATTTCTCCCACACACTTGTTAATATCCAACACACTATGTTTTTTACCTATTACTATGTGTTTTACCTATTTTTCATATAGATACATCTCCTCTCTCGCCACTAGAATGTAAGATGCATGCAGAAAGGGTTTTGTTTGTTTAGTCTGTCACTAAATCCCCTGCAACTGGTTTTTGGTAGAAAATAGCTTCTCAGTAAATATTTATTGAGTAAATAGATAAATGAGTTCTTAATAATGCATGGCTGGAAAAGAATGTTAAGGAAATCTGTTTTCTTAATGCTCAATTTAAAAAGATGTGGAGATAATATTTGAGAAGCTCTTGGGCATGAATATGATCAGCATTTGATTAAAAAGTTAGGAAATAGGTTTATTTTTTTATTATCATTTGGAGCTTCTGAAAATACATTCCCCCAACACAGAATGTGTGAAGAGAGGAAATAAAATCCAGGTAAGGTTTGTGTTATAGCAGTTCACATTGGAGGCAGGATGTGCATTAGGGCCAGGGATTAAAAACCATTTTACTAAGAGATGGCCTGCAAAAGACTGGTGGTTTGTATAACTTTTCCATGATCTTAGATGAGTGTTTTCAGAGTTTCCACTCCATACAAATGGTAGTGAAGAGAAAAGCGTACTCCACAAAGACTCTCCAGAGTGGGTAGTACTTTTCAACACAGATATATAATCTCTTACTTTTTTTTTTTTTAGTTAGAGCATATTGTGCTGCCTGATTCATTTATCTCTTATTTTCTCTGGAATTTTTTCTAGACAGCATTTCATTTTGGCAGTGTCGTAGTAAATGCATGTGGAGAATTTGAGATGTAAGGCTATGTTGTGTGCCTAGCAGATAGGAGGATGGAAGTCCCAACTCCTGAGTGGAGGGTGGGAATCCCTAGCACACGTCACCAATGCCGGTCAGACCTTGGCCTGCACCAGCGTGTGCCCACGTATGAAATTTTTGAGGTCATACTCTGAAAACTGGCCATGGCGTAGATAAAGATGTGTGCAAAGATGTTTATGAAAATGTGTGCACTGTTTCTCTCTTTACATTATTGCTGTCTGGGTGAAAGGCTGTGTGCCTGAAAAGACCACACCTGTGTAAAGGATAAAGAGGAAAGATCTAGTGCTTTGTTCCCACACTTCCATGTAGTTTTGCATCTGTGCCCATCAGCTTTCCTTCTTACAGCGTCTTTTTCTGATCAGCTTTTGAAATCCATTAAGGAATATTATATTCGTGGACGAATTTAGGTGGAAACTGAAGCAGAAAAACAGACCCACATTGGTGGAACCTACAGGAGCCCTCTTCTTCTTGACCCCTTTTCCTTGTCTCCTAGAAACAGAAAGCAGGAGTGTGAGCAGTGTGGTTCTGAATCATGACCATTTAGGAACCTGGATAAAGGCTTGCTACCCCAGACAGGAGTAAGTCTGTGCAACCTGCTGGCTTCTTTGGGGACCTCCTGTAATCACCAGTGATGAAGAGAAGCAGTGGGCACTGTATTTCCTAGGGCCACTAGAACACATGGCCACAAACTTAATGGCTTTATATTTTCACAGTTTTGGAAGCTGGAAGTCCAAAATCAAGGTGTTGGCAGGGCCACACTCCCTCCGAGGCTCTAGGGGAGGTCCTTCTTGGCCTCTTCCTGTTTCTCGTGGCTCCAGGCGTTCTTTGTGGACTCATCACCCCAGCCTCTGCCTCCATCTTCCCTTGGCCTTTCCCTGTATCTGTCTTCTCTTCTGTCTCCATACGTATGCTTGTCATTGGATTAGGGCCCACCTGGATAATCCAGGATGATCTCATCTCAAGACTTTAATATCATTACATCTGCACAGACCCAGGTTCTAACTAAGGGGACATTCTCAATGAGGTGGCGTTCACCCTGCTCTTCAGCAGAGTTGAGGCCCAAATAATAATTACTCCTATTTTATGTGAAATGTGAAAAATCTCATAACAATTGCATTGTTGCCAACAGTCTTCGTTTTTGCATCAAGGGCTCTTAGGAGTGTGTACACTGATCTTCGGGAGAAGAAAGATTGTCATTTCATTTTTTTCCTAGTTCTAGAAACTTTTTCCTGGTCATGTGAGTAGGTGGTCATTGAAAGCCACGTAGTATCTATGTGCTCATTCAGGTAGCCATCCAGCAATCACATTCTGAAGTATTTCATTGAGTGACTACTGGTAGACCCAGCGTAAGCATCCTGTCATTTAACCTATGAGGTAGATGCCATCATTTCGCAGTTTTACTAATGAGGTCACTGCCTTGCCCAAGGTCAGGCATCAGGTCTTACACTGGTTGAGTTAAAAAGACAACCAAGCAGGAAGATGACAATCGGGGAAGAAAGGACAGCTGGAAGTAGGTATGGAATGACTGGGAAGTACCCCAAAGGACATGTTTCTCCAAGGGTGATCCATGGCCCACCCACGGGCCACCAAGGTCCTCTGCTGAGATATAACTGGCTCCAGTACCCCAGTCCTTTAGAGAAAATTATAGTTAATTACACATTAGTATTTATAACTAAAAGTCCATTTACTGTTTATCTGTTACGTGAATGATTAAGGTTGTGCAGTCTGATACTTACAAACAAAAAATTAGCATTTTACTGCCATTTATGGAAGAAGTATCCTTAGAAGGATTCATTCTCTTTGTAGAGTCAGCTACCCTGCTGTTCTCAGCACTATCCAAAGCTCCTTTGCTCACACCATTGTTAGCATCCCCTCCTCTAGGGGAAGATGCTTTGCTACCACTCTTTAGCATTGTCTTGAGTTAATTGTGGCTGTCCAGTTGCTGATATTTAAAGATTCGTATCTTGTAGAAGGTGTTACTCTGTGGACAGCTTTGTTCTTGTGTAACTGCTTCATTTTTATATCATCTTGTTTATTTATTTTTCGCCCAATTCTTTGTTATAACAGTTCTTTCCCACTGGAAATTTGAAAGGAGGGAGGTAGAAGAGTTTGAGAGTTGTTTGTCCTAAGTGGGCTGTGGTCAGAAATGGCTATGAACCAAAGCCAAGTTATGCACAAAAACAAGTGAGTAAAGCCTCTCCCTGGGGCATCAGGCTTTGCGAGGAGGAGGACAGGAGGCAGCGGGGCGTTCCAGCACAGGGAGGGTCGAGGGGTGGTTGCAGAATGTCAAGGGGTTGTGTTGTGCTGACTGTGTATTTTGGATGAGTGAAATTTTTGATTTCTGCTGAATTTAAAAGACATTGCTAGGCCATGTCAAAGGTTTAGCAACCTGTGTAGATGACAACCAGCAGAGAACCAGAAGTTTGCGAGTGTAGGTGTGATGCCTTTGATAGGGTTGGTGTTTATCTTTCTCCTGATGTCCTGGACCAGGGCACAGTACACAGAGACAAGAACTGAAGGGTAAACGGTTTACTGGGTTGTTAATAACATCTGGGCACGTGCCAGCTATCGCCCAAATGAGGGCGGGCCTCTCTAGGGAGCCCTGCCAAAGCAGGCAGAGTTAGCCTTCAGGCCCTGGAGGGGTTGCAGCTTCCTTCCCGTAGATGCTGAGAGGGGGACCTACGGCCTGGACCAGGTGGAGAGGAAGGAGATGGAGTGCACAGGGCCTGATTCG